ATATATATGTATATATATATATATATATATATATATATATATATATAGAGAGAGAGAGAGAGAGAGAGAGAGAGAGAGAGATGCATACGCATACATATATATGTATATATCTATATATATATTTATATATATAAATATATAAATATATATACATATATATACATATATATAATATTTTGTTTGTGTTTGTTTGTGTGTGTATGCAGCGCGTGATGGGTTTAATAGCGGGTTTGGACTTGAATTGCGGTGTATCTTGTTTAAGTTTTTCTGCAAGCGGCGAATGCATTTTAATAGGAAGTCATCGGTGCTCAAAAGCTCTATTATATAATACAGAGAGCGGCATGCTGCTTTATTCTTTTTCGCTGACATCTAACTGTCTCCTCGAAGGCATTCGTCGAGAGCTTAACTCCAAATACATCACTGATGATGGTGGATAAACCCTAAACCCTAAACCCTAAACCCTAAACTCTTCACACGCTATATAGATATACCACTATAGACACAAAACCCTCTATATTCAACCGGATATACGAGGGTTTACAGTTTAGCGTTTAGAGGCTAGGGTTTGCAAGCTACGGGTTGCGATTAGGGTTTAGGGTTTAGGGTTTAGGGTTTAGGGTTTAGGGTTTTCGTTCAGGCATCCCTATCCAGGAATATGATTTGTCTGATGAAGACGACGACTTCAATGAGGGGGAAAGAGAGAGAAAAAGAATTCGCAGCGTGAGTTGTACAGGTTTAGGGTTTAGGGTTTAGGTTTTAGGGTTTAGGGTGGGGTAAAGGGTTTAGGTTTGGGGTGTATATCAGCAGCAGCAGTACGAGCAGCAGCAGTATTAGCAGCAGCGGGAGCAGCATCAGTCCTTCCAGCAGTAACAGCAGCAGCAGCAGCAGCAACTGCAGCCGCCGCAGCAACAGCAGCAACTGCAGCAGCTGCAGCTGCAGCAGGAGCTTACTGATTGCGTTTGTTTGTGTGCTGGGGTGTATGTGCAGCACCGCTCTTTACCTGGAGTGATGGTTGGGGATTTAGCAGCAAAAAATGAAAAAGTTTTTAGGGTTAACTCTCTCTCCTTCTCTTCAGACAGCCGCTGCTTTGCTGTTGCAACCTCGCATGGGCTGTATGTATACAGCATCGACCTCCAGGTACACCCCAAACCCTAAACCCTAAACCCTAAACCCTTTCTTTGTTTCCTCCATTCATAGTCTTTCTTCTCGATTAGGTTCCACGCTTCTTCCAGACACACTACGCTACAATATAAACCTAGGGTTTAGAGTTTAGGGTTTAGGGTATAGGGTTTAGGGTTTAGGGTTTAGGGTTTAGGGTTTGTGGATGCAGGGAGGGTTTGTGGGGAACTACGGATTGATGGATTTGGGCTCAGCGCCTCCATTTTTAACTCGAAATGTTACGACGAAAAATATTGCAAAGGCGCTCGACAAAGAAGAATTCGCTAAGGTGTACAGACACCTCAGTTCTCAGGGTTTAGGGTTTAGGGTTTAGGGTTTAGGGTTTAGGGGTTTTGGGGGATAGGGGTAGGGTTTAGGGTTGGGTAGATCGCTCGTCGTACATTGAGTGTCTTCATTGTTTTTTTCCTAGCTCTAAAGCTTAGGGTTTAGGGTTTAGGGTTTAGGGTTTAGGGTTTAGGGTTTACGTGCATGTGTGTGTGAGTCGTCGTGAATACATTCTTTGTTTTTTCTGTTTTTTTCTTCTGTTTTGTTTGCATTTGTTTGTCTGTTTAATCTGCATTGTTTAACTTTTTTTAATTTCTTTCTTTGTATCCCCATCTCTCTTTCTGTGTTTTGTTTATTTTTGACTGCTGCATTTATTGCTTGAAAGTAGAAGAAAGATAAGTTGATGAATGAAAGAGTTGACTGATAAAAGTAAGAAAGTAGAATGAATATTAATTTAGTATATTTTGGGTGTATGTACACCTCAGGCATTTGTATTGGCGCTTGTATCGAACGATAGAAGAATTTTATTATCTGTTTACGAGAGCATACCCTCTACATCTATATCTTTAGTTTGTTTGAGTGTATCTACATCTTTATTACCTCATTTTCTTCTCTTTCTTTCTTCTCTCTTCTCCCCTCTTCAACAACAACCAGGATATAAACATATTCAATTCCATTTGCTTTGGCTTCTTGCTCTACTCAAACTGCGCATACACTCCTTTCAAGGTATGCTAATTATTAACCCTAAACATAAACCCTAAGCATTAACCCTAAACATAAACCCTAATCATTAACCCTTATAAACCCTAGTTATATAAACCTAAACCCTAATAAACCCTACAGGTGGGCCCTAATTATACACGCTTATAAACCCTAATCATAAACCCTAATAAACACTAATAATAAACCCTAATCATAAACCCTAATCATAAACCCTAATCATTAGCCCTATTCATAAACCCCAATCATAATAAACCCTAATCATAAACCCTAATCATAAACCCTAATCATAAACCCTAATTATAAACCCTAATCATAAGCCCTAATCATAGACCCTAATAAAGCTCAGTTATAAACCTTAGTAAACCTTAATTAACAATAATAAGCCTTACCCTGTATGTGTGTGTCTTCATTTGCATAATATCTCTCTCGTAATTTGTTTTATTATTTTTATTTTTTGCTGCGACGTAGGAGAACTCGGGAGGCTCTGGGCAGCGACAGACATTGACAAAAACCAGAGTGAAGACCAACGCAAAGCAGAGGCCTTCAATCGCCTCTCCCGTAAGCCTAAACCCTAAACCCTAAACCCTAAACCCTAAACTCTAAACCCTAAACCCTAAACCCTAAACCCTAAACCCTATGCCCTAGCCGCATCAACGTATTATTATTATTATTATTATTATTAATATTATTTTTTGTTGTTTTCTCTCATTGTTATTGCATACATGCAACAATTTGTAGAAGTTGAGATGTACGTACACCGCATTGGCGTGTGTATTTGAGGTGTATATGCAGCTGGATGAGCTATGCATAAAGTGTGAAGTATTATATGTTTGTATTTATTTTTTCTGCAGGCATTTCAATAGATCTCCGCACAGTGCTGCTGCTGCTGCTGCAGCAGCTGCAGCAGCAGCACGCCAATCTTCATGCAGCGTTTGCAGCAAATTTGGGGTCTCTTTCTTTCATAACGTCTTCAATGCGAAACAGAATTAGAACCCGAAAAAACAACAAATAAAAACATTCTTTGGGGCTGCATGCATGCAACCCCTAACAGTATAAACCCCCTTCACAAGAACACCACACCCACCACCCATCAAACCATAGCTAGCCATTGCGAACACTGCAACTGGCTAGCTGTACCTAGCTAGCTGTAGCTAGACGGCTGGTGGGGGCTGGCTAGCTGTAGCTAGCTATTTGCTTCTTGCTAGCTGTGGCTGGCTAGCTGCAGCTAGCTATCTGTAGCTAGCTAGCTGTAGCTAGCTACCTGTATCTAGCTAGCTGTAGCTGGCTAGCGGGGATTTCTACATCTGCTCTGCTGAAACCAACGCACGCTGCAGCAGCTGCAGCAGCTTTTGCAGCAGCAGCAGCAGCAGCAGCAGGCGAGTAGTGCAGCAGCCACAGCGCAGGCGATGGGGCCTCAATGCGGCTGTTTGCCGAACTTGCAAAATTTGGTGAATGAGGGTTTTGCTCTCCTTTGCTATGCTAAAACCCTTCTTAGGGTTTAGGGTTTAGGGTTTAGGGTTTAGGGTTTAGGGTCCTTTGCGTTTTATTTAATTCAACCTTTGGCCTCAAGAGAATATTTACTCCCATAGTTTGCGTCTTCCTTTTTGTTAGTTGTTGCTGCTATTGTTGTGGCTGCTGCTGTTGTTTGCTTTTTGTTGTTGCTGCTGTTGTTGCTGCTGCTGTTGTTTGTTGTTGCTGCTGCTGCTGCTGTTGTTTGTTGTTGCTGCTGCTGCTGCTGTTGCTGTTGCGGGGCCTCTCTGCTTTATTTTGAGGATTTGCTGCAATTAAGAACTCCGCAGACACCGCAAAGCAGAAAAAAATAAAATAACATTTTAATAATATTATTATTATTACTATTATTGCCAGAATAATAATAATAAATAATAATAATAATATTAATAGTAATAATAAACGCAAATATAATTAGAAAATACGAACACTAACAGAAATATAATGAAAATATATAATATAAATATAATATAATATAATATAATATAATATAATATA